GGCGCTCGCCATGTGGCCCCGACCGCCGCGCTGCCTGCCAGGAGGGCTCCACGCCGCTCCGGTCGGCGGGGAGGGAAGGACGCGGGCTGCCCTGCCGGGCTTGCTACAGACCTGGCACCAGCTGGGGCAGACGGAGTGCGCAGCCTGCTCCCAGCAGGGCGCTCCCCTCCTCCGTGCCGCTGCCCCCTACAGGGCGGCTGGATCGGCGAACCCCCTCCCCCCCCCCAAACGGCCGTGCCGCCCTAGGATTGGGCGGAATGCCGCCCCGTAGAATCTGCCGCCCCAAGCACGAGCTTGCTGGAGCCGGCCCTGGATCTGACTACTGGACAATAAACCAAATCAAAAACTTGACCCTTCCTTGTTGCCAGCTCTCTTTTATTCAGTACACAGGGGAAAGAACTAATGCTGATGGAAAGAGAAATACACAGTCCCTGTCTGTAAACGCACAGAATAGAATGAATTGTTCCGTTGTCTATCCAAATTTCCGCTTGCCTAATTATAGCCTTTATTTTTATGGGGGAGATTGATGGGTTTGCCATATGGATGAACTATGTTCTTAAATACATTTTCAAATTGCCTGGAATAGGTCCCTTTCTGGATTGTTTATATAAACTGAAATAAATAAGTAAAGCTCATAGATAAAATATTCTTACTGCCTCTGATTTTCCTGATAACTTCTCTATTTGAAGTTATTAACTAGAGCTAGAGGAAAAACGAACACCTATTGTGTAAATAAAAAAAAATTCAAACAGACCTTTTTAAAAAAATGGTTAATTAGAAACCAATTTTTTAAAATCAGAAATGTTATTGTAAACATTATCAAACTGTTTACTGAAAACCTGGCTGCAGCAAACAATTTTGATAACATTTTTGTTCATGTTAGATTTAAAATTTCTGGAAAAAATGAGAAAAGGCACAACATTTTTCACAAAACCCCAGAAATGACTGATAATTTTTATGCAAAAAATTTTCATTTTAAGGGGGGGGGGAGCCATTTTACAAAAAAACTTCTTGTTAGAAAAATCTTATACCAACTCTAACACAAACCCATTATTGTTCCATTTTGGTGATTCTGAAATTCTGTGATTCTGCTTTACTCTTCTGTGCCTGTATGCAAGGGTGAAGCCTGCGATAGGTTCAGAACTAGCTCTTCCATATATTGTGCCACATAAGGAAATGGTTGACCAGAAAATGGACTCCCTAAATTCTTTCCTGTATGCTTTAGCAATATAACCTTACCATTTCCTTCTAAGCAGGTGTGAAAGCATAGAGCTTGATGATGAAATACGAAATCTGATAGAGAAGAACAGTATTGCACAGTACCATGAGAACTTGGAGTTCATTGCCCAAGAACGTGTGCTCAAACAGATGACTTCGTGTTCCCTGAAGGTAAGCAAATGTTTCTTTTGCAACAGTTTGTCTGCAAGGGAAGAAAATTGAGGGGGTATCTCCTGTTGTATTAACAACTATACACAAACTTCCTTGATTGCTGAACACATCATATGTTGAATGTACTGTAAATTCTCTCACAAAGCCACTTCCTGTGACTTAGGGAAACTGTTTAAGTGAGAAGACACTTCTCTTCAGCAGTTTCCAAAGCCCAGCTAGAGATACTGAGAGTACATCTACACAGGGATAAAAAACTGTCAGCTGGCCTGGGTCAGCTGATTCAGGCTCATGGGGCTCAATCTCCAGATCTGAAAAATTGCTGTGTAGATGTCTGATCTTGGACTGGAGCCCGAGCTCTGGGACTCTGTGAGAGTGGAAGGTCCCATAACTCGGGCTCCAGCCCAAGCCAGAATGTCTACACAATTTTTAGCCCTGCAGCTTATGCCATTTGACCCAGGCCAGCTGCAGCAGTTCCCCTTTATCTCTGCGTAGACATAGTCTTATTGTCCAAAGCAGCATTCTGATTGGCCAGTTGGACCTTTTGGATAATGATATCTAGAGATGCACGGCTGTGACCTCGCAAGGCTGTGACCTTAAACACACACGAACATCTCTACACCCATTGTGTTCAACAGTTCAATGGTTAAAGGGGAAGAAGGGAAACAAAAATAAGGCCCCTTGCGCGAATGGGAGGGGAAGTTGGTGGAGTGGGAATGAGGGTCTGAAGAAGAAAAAGTGGTGGTTTAGACGTCCCTCTCCCCTGAATGCCAAGCTACTCTCCACCTGGTAGTGAGAGAAGGAGAGGAAATTCTTATTTCCTGCAATGAGGAAAGGAACGAGAAACAAGATAGTGCACCCAGGCTGGGGAGAGATACAGTTAAACTATTCATTCCTGAAGGGAATGAAGTGGAGACCCACTTCCCTTCCTTCATGACATCATCACAAGCAAAAGGATGTAGCTGAAAAGCACAACTCTAAATATGTTACAAGGAATTACCAGGAAAATGAAAGAAGATGTTACTATGATGAATCAATTTATAGGTATTTCACAAGTAAACTATCACCTCCGGAATGACTTGCTGCTACAGCTGCTCAGGAATTTTTCAGTGAAATGTTTTTTTGTCAGAAAATTCCCATTTGTTGAAACTGAAACTTCTTCGAGAGTTCCACACCTGGGCAGACAAAACCAGTTATCCCCAGAGACAGCTGATAGTTTAGAAAAACAGGAATACCAGAACATGTTGGGCTTGTCTATTAGCTCACTGCAGATCCACCTAGTAGCAATCACTGTCTTCCACCCTATTTTTACACACCCAATAATAACCAAATTCCTGAAGGGTCTCACTAGTACCTTCCCACCAGTAGTGAAGCCAACACCTCAATGGAACCTCAATCTTGCACTGTCAATACTTATCAGGCCACCCTTTGAACATCTAACCATGTGCTCAATATCCCACCTGTCTATGAAGGTCACCATCACATTGGCCAGGAGGTTGAGCAAGCTGAGGGCACTCATGGCCAACCTGCCATATATGCTACTTTTCAAAAATAAAAGGTATCCCTTTGCTTCCACCCAAAATTCATTCCCAAGGTAATTTTTGAGTTCCACATAGATCAATCAATTCACATACTGGTATTTTTTCCAAAACATCATGCCTCTAGTGAGAAGCAGAGGCTTTGCTCTCTTGACATCAGAGGAGCTTTGGTGTTCTACCCTCAAAGAATGAAACCAATTAGAAAAATGTCTACACTATCTGTTGCTATAGCAGAATGAACGTTGGGTTAAGCAATATCTACACAGATCCTCTCCAAGAGGATTCCTGGCTGCTGTCAGTTACCACATATCCCTCCCTGGACAGGATGAGGGCCCATCCACTGGAACACAGGCAACCTCAGTAAGCATCTCTCCAAGAAGTACCTGTGCGGGATATTTCTAAGGTGTCAACCTAGAGTTCCATCCACACCTTCATGAAGCATTATGCTTTAATCTAAGCCTCTTCTGCAGACACAGCCTTTGAACAACATTAATACTTCCTGCATCCTCATACCACTCTCTTCTTTGACTACTGTTTACCAGTCACCCCCATGTGGAATACACATGGGGACCAGCACTTGAAGAGGAAATGGAGTTTACTTACCTCCTTACCAGGTCCTGAGATGTGTGATCCCTATCTGCATTCCTCTCCCTGCCCTCCTTCCCCTCTGCCATGGATCATGACACTATTTGTGGTAGAAAACAGTCTGCACCTCTCCATATACCCTGGTGCTGAGCACGACAGGCTTCATGGCACAGGCATGGACCAATGGACACTACTTGAAAGATTTTTCTATTCTCCTGTACATGATGTGCCTGTGTACCCATGCATGGAATGCACATAGGGACCACACATCTCAAAGTAAGCTTTTTTGTGTGTGTGTATGGAAATGCATCTGTTTTGACCAAAGCTTCGCTGGGAAAAAATTTCAGATCCGGGATGGAATTTCCAGGGGGGAGAGGAAGAGACCCCAGAATAGACCATCAGTATCCCAGTGATTATGACACTGGGGAATGTGGGAGAGCCAGGATTAAATCTCTTCTCTGACTCAGGCAGAGCAAGAACTTGAACCTGGGTCTCCTACTGTGTACCACGTGAGTACCCTAATAGCATTACACTCTCTCTCCCTTTCCTGTTGGAGCTATTCCACTTTGTATAAATAAATATTCACTAGGGCAGAGAGAGAGACTGACTCCATAGCCCTGTGGTTAGGTGTGCGTCCAGACCAGGTAGAGTAGGGTCTTGAACCTGGGTCTCCCATATCTCAGGTGAGTGCCCTAATCACAGGGGTATTGGCTATTTTAAGGTGGATCTCTCGCTCTCTTTGTAAAAATATTCAAATAGTCTCGTTTTCATTCTGATGCAGACTGAACACACATGTCAAAACCTTGGATATTTTTTAAGGAATTCTTGTTTTCTACCCAGCCCTACTTGCTGCCTACAATAAGATTAAGGGAAAATGTCACAATTAGAACAATGGGATCAGAATCATCACAAAAGGGAAAAAACCTAGATGGATTTCACATTACCATTGAAATCCACAAAAATCTCTCCCTCCTCTACTCTCCCAAAAGTGGTGAAACAAAAGCAGCACCAGTACCACAAAAGCAAGAAGCATTAAACTTCTCACTTAATACACATCAGCAAAACAAAAGTTGGTGATTGTTTCAGTCAGCCACTAGATGTGATCTTTTTTTCAACAGAAAGTTGGGAGTGTATACAGGGATTCCTAGGGAAGAGAACAGAGAGAGGGTTCGCTCCCCCTCCTTTGTTATGTAGTTCAGTGTTTCACTTGAACTATGCAGATCTGTAGTATTTTACCTCTCTTTGTATGCACTTGCACATATTCTAGTTACTTGCCCTTTGGATTTGTGTGAGGGTTTTTCATACAGTTGAGAGGGCGGTACAGTGTTTCAAGTGTAAAAAAGTGTGTGGTTTTAAGATTGTTTTTAAGAGGAGTGGCTCTTTTATTTGGCCAACTACTTACTTGGATTTACAGTTAGTGCCAGCTGTGATGAAGTCCAACAATTTTCAGTGTAGGTGGCTTAAAATGAGTGTGTTGGGTTGTATACGTTGAATATGCAGGATATGATTTTTTGCTATGCTAAAGAATACTCTTCAGATGTAAATGATTTACAATAGTAAAGAAAACAGTCATGAATGTCAGTTTGTGTAGACTCAGAAGCTGGTTTGAGGGGAAATCTTTTACTTGGAGATAGAGGAAGAGGTACAAACTATCTTATGCTTCCTCTGTGGCTTTGTACATCCTTTCAGAAAAGTCAGGCACAGATAGTAAATCACGTGAATGTTTGTCAGATTTTTACAATGTTTGAGGTAGCAGTATTGCCAACTCAAAATGTTCAAAAATTCTGTTAGACACCAAAAATCATGAGATTAGCTTTAAAATCATGAGGTTATGTAAAAGTACAGGTCTGTCGCATCTTACGCGCATTTAACATGCGCGATTTCAGCTTTACGCAGTCGGCAAAAACAAAAAAAAAAGAAAAATAACAATTTTAATATTGTACTTGTAGTGCGGGCGATTCCGCCCGCCATTCATCTCAATGTAATTTTGACTATACACGGTTTTCGCTTTACGCGCTAACTGCGGAACGGAACCCCCGCGTAAGATGAGACTCGCCTGTAATAGATTTGGTATTCTTTTTATTTGCCTTCTGCTTTTTGAGCGTTTAGAGTGCACTGGGGTCACATTTTGAAGCTTTTTCCACAGCCACAAGGGCTAGAAACTTAAAGAAAAGGTAAGAATGAAGGCTGAAATCATCACATATCCATTTGACTCCAGGGGCTTTAAGAAAAACAGTCATAATCATGAGACCAATGACAAAATCATGAGAGTTGGCCACTCACACTCACCAACAGCAAACTGACCTATTCTAACCCCAAGGCTCTAGTAAGACTGTGTTTCTGGAATTGTATGTAAACAAATTCCCTTTGCTTCCTTCCCTTTTTTTCTTTATGTAAGCTAAGTTCTTCATAAATTAAAAAACATGTAAGGGCTAAAAGAGGTCATTTGAGAGAGGGAACCTGGATATGCAGAGTGAACAGACTGGACTCCAAGCATCAACTTCATGCCCTGATCACTGCATGTATTATAGTTTTAAATTATGGAATGTCATCATGCTCTGTTACCCACAGTCCTGGGCCATCTTGGTACTAAACCATAGTGGCCCTTCATGGAAAGTCTCATTTTTAATCTTCACCATGTTGTGTGAGAAGAACATAGTGTCTGACTGGCTTCAAAGAGAGTTTGAAGGCACAAGAAATGCATGAAATGGATGCAAGGGACTTACCCAATTTGGTAAGAACTTATTTCGATCTGACCATGTGATCAGTCCATATATGGGCAAATGGAAAGGGCTGAGTCCTTGTATTTGAATTGCACAAGTGAATTAAATACACATTTCATCTATACATACAAAGGGCCAAACTCAGAAGTGTCAGGTG